AAAAATTTGTATCAAAATCCAACAATCAGGTTAAATTTATTATCAACCTAGGAAATAACTGAATATTATTACAAATTGCCTTTTTATTGATTATTTTAAATAGTGCGATACTAGTTATTTGAACCATATAGTATTTGTATTTCGGTAGTTCAGAATGATGTGTTTGGAATAACTTAACAAAATTTAGAACAAAATCCATATCTTCATGAGAACATAAATATATCTATAAATATCATAAAGTTTCTATTACTTTTTATAACTTTCAAAATACTGATATATTTTTATAAAAATGGTATGCTACGTTTTTTATTAATTCTTGTTTTCAATGGTCTTACTTGGATTATTTGACGTTAAATATATATTAAATATAAAAAAAGATTTTTTTTATTCATACTTTTACGGAATAATTTTCAAATGAATTATTAACAGATTCTTTAAATTGAAGTATTACCCATCAGTGCAAGATGTTGTAAATTTTTTAAAAACATGGACGTGTATGGTGGGCTTAAAAGCTAAAAATACATATAATGATGTATTTTGAAAGTTCTGTTTGATTATTTCACCGAAGAGTGGCCTATATATTTCTTTAATTTTATTTATTTATCAGTTATAAATTATCGGTTTAATATTGATAATAAATATAGGATATCAGAAAAATGTAATATATTCACCCAGCTATTATATTAAAACTCTGACTCTTGAATTTGATTTTTAAGCTCATATTGAATAATATAATTTTGTTCAAGTTGTACTATCAATCATTTTTTACTTTCACTATATAGATCTCACCATGTACCTTAGCTCTACATATTTTAATGTATTATATTTTTAACGATTAATAATTACAATTGTACTCCCAAAGAGAAAAATATATATTTTATTAAGATATAGTCTAAATCATAGTTACACAATTATCATACACAATTTCAAAGTCACCTGAATAAAAAATAAAGTACTTTTTACATATTTAAGGCAGTTTAAGGACAATAGGGGTAGAAAAAGTAAAGTTAGTATAATGCAGAATATTTTTTTGTCAAAACATTCAATAGAAGAATCAAACGATATCATAAATTAAACATGATACAGATATTTTTCAGGAGCTATTGATGTATATTTAAGGGGTCAGTCTGGCCTAATGTGTAGAAATATATGTTTCGGCGCACAAGGTTTTAGGTTCGATCCCTAGGGTGCCAATGTGATTTTTCTTGAGATTTTCTCATTGATGATGACTGGTATCTGGTGCAAGCCGGCTATAATATCTGTTACGCCCTATCTTTGGCTTAGCCAAGAACCATCTTTGACTCCTTAACTGTAAAACAGGGGCACCACCCAATGTAGTATGATAACTTCGGGGAATAGAAGGATGTAAAACAAATCATTTATCTTATTTTTTTTTTTTGACTTGCAACATAATATTCGTTATTAACATACTGCAGTACATATACAATTATTTTTAACTACTCACATTCTACTAATTATCTAAATGGCGCATTGTTTTTTTTATCGTGTAAATATGACAACGTTCTCGAAAAGTACATATAAGTTTTATATTATGGATAACATTATTTTTTCTTTTTAAGTAATAAAATTAATTGTTATCTGGGTCTCAATTCAAATTATAATATAGATAATTCTAGCTAGTAAAACTTTTTATTTTTTTTAGTATCTAACAATTTTTTTTTATATTCAATTTATAATAATAAAATATAAAACCAGATACAAAATATAAAAATATGAAAACTTTGAAATCTCAAAGTTTTCATATTTATCAAAACTTGCTTTACTTTAAAGTGAATCAATAAATGACCCATGCTATTGCCAAAAAAGTTACAATAAAAAATTAATCATAACAATAACAAAAGTTTCAACATTAAATACAATAGAATATAACTAGTTAAAAACTCAAAAATAGAAGTTTTATATTAACAACTTTTAAAAAATACGGTTTTTATTTTATTTTAGTTATTTTATTGACATTAAGCAAATTAAGACTTATAAATAATTGAAATTTTAGTAATGTCACTTATTATTTCCACTACATGTCTCCCCTTCATTGCACGTCATATAAGTACATTGAAATTACTTATTGGACATACAGTGTAAATTGTAAATGTATCTTTTCAATAAAATAAAAACCCTAAATTGATTTTAACGTTGATACAATATAAACGAACACGACATACTAAATCGATTATATATTAAACATTGGTGATGGCATAAATATTTAGATTGATCTTTACTTACGAATATATAATTAAAATAATTAAAACTAACAAAACGATTAATATTATATCACAAAGCTGAACTGAACAGACATTCAATATTTCATAAAATCATTATTATTTCATCAAGCCCGGTTGTATTAGTGAAATACAAAATTTGATTGTTCAAAGAAACTCGATTTGCTATTATTTTGGTTGTCTTTATTACAATTTTTTTCTTACGAAAGCTTATCTTTTGTAATGTGTTTAAACAAATATTTGCACTCGAGTTAATCATAGATATTGTATATTTCTAAAATCCACTTCGATAGACCCCGATGAATAATGTAAGATAAACAAATAGGATTCTAGTTCGATTATTTTTGGGCTATATTAGAAGAGAGTCGCCTATAAACCAGCGCCGAATTCTCACAAATTAACATGTACAAAAAAGGGATCGATAGTTTTTAGCCAACCGCGTGCTTTTGAAAGTGACGACACTCGAACGTGGGCGATACCTAAACGCACATTTCAAACATCACGCCTAAGCTGAATTTCAGATTACGATTGACATAATCCTTTGCACGCAGTTCAAAGGACGAGCCGTATGGTTGTCTTTTGACTGAACACTTCGAAGAGTGACATTATTATTGCGGAGTTTTAAAACACAATCCAAATTTATAAATACTCCATTCAATGTATATCCGGTTGTGATAAAACAACATTAGGTTCACTAGCACTTCACACAAGAGCAAGACAAGTTTAATAACTACAGTTTATGATGTCCTAAAGGGAGATCATCAGTCACGTGGATTATACTGCGTTTGATTTCCTTTGGCGTTCAGTGTAACAACACTCGATTATAAAAGTTCTTAAAAGTTTTTTTTATTGGTGTAGTAGTGAACACAAAAGTCTTGAAAATTATGAAACGATCGCTTCTACGAGTCTCTACGGAACTTAGTAAATTCTAGGCAAGCAAATCAAATCCAACTTGCTCACGCCGAATGAAAACTGACTTAAGCAGACAAAAAACATGCCGTTTTTGTAGTTGAAAGATAAATTATCGACTGTAATAGACTGAAAACTCCATTTACCAAAAATTGAACATTTCAAACAAATATAATAAAGCAATTTCTTTGGCTTGTTCTCTTACTAGAATCGTATTTATATTTTCATTATTTTTATACAAGTTTTTCATCGAGACTTAATTTGATCAATATTGATTTTTTACGTTTTAATGTGTTTCTATTATTTCTGAGGGTGTTACGACTCATACAATAAAGGTTCAAATTTCAAGTTGAAAATCAGTTTAAACAAATATTTTAAATAATTTCCACTGCAGAATCTAAATTCTTCAATTAACGAATGTTGTTTATCCGATTTTCGTAGCTAATAGTCCCTTTAAATTGAACCTAATCAGTGAAATTAAATTTCAGTAAATAATTAGATACGATGGACTGCGGTCGAAAATTATTTTCCAATACTGTTACTTAATAAACTTATAGTTATTGCCATTGCCTTCAATCATTTCTAATTGCATTACTTAACCTTTAAATGAATAACCAAAAAATCAAAAAGAAGCAAAAGATACTAAATTACCACACCCGGAAATTCTCTTTAATATCCTTTACAATTAAACGCAGACTTCAAAAAATATGTTTTGAAAAAAATATAGCTTTAATAACTGGATATTACAAGTTAAACCGTTTTAAAATCAACTTTGGGGCTTTTAACTTTGAATCATCATTTTCATTTATAATTCAAAAGTGTATAAGTAAAAATTTCTTTTGTTTATTGAAAAAATCTAACGATTCATAATTTTGTTTAAAAACATTCAATACGTCGTTTTATTAACCAATTTGCAGCCAATATGATAAAAAGTTGAAAAAACTTGTATTTATAAACTAATATTGGATATTTAGGGTGTTCTGGTGACCATTAAATTTTTTTTAATTTTTTACGCTGACCTAATTCTAGAAAACAAAGTTCTGTATACGCAACGATAACCGTTAACAGTGGATACAATTGTAAATAGATTACACACTTTTAAACTTTATATATTTTTACAATTCTTATTCTAAACTAAATCTAACTTAACTTTGTATATTTAGAAAAAAAGTTTTATTAAATTTAAAGAATTACTAAAATAAATGTTGCGTACACTCAACTTTGACCATTAATGGGTTGTTATTCCTTGTTTAAATAAAATTTTTATACTAAATTTCGAGAGAAATAAAATTAATTCTATAATAATTCTTTTAAGTATAAATTTGTAGATTTTCAATTAAAAAAGCAAACATTTTTAAGGTAGCTCGTAAATAATTAATGTACTAGTAGTTTTGAATAAAAATACAATATGTAAGTAAAAAAATTGTCAATATTAGATAAATGGAAAAGTTTCATTAATTCTTCACATTTAATGATATCCATTTTTCGTATAATTAAACAAAAAAAATTTTATTTCAATAATTGGTTTACAAAGTAATAATATTTTTAGTAATAGTGTTGAAAGGCCATATCTGTATTAATGTATAGGTATATAACAGCTTGTTATTAAAGTTGAATACCTATAACTTAAAAAAAAATTTGGAACTTAACAACTCTGCTATTTTTATGATAACAAAAACAAGGATACAAATTTAATAACGTCATATGGAGATTGACATGTATAAAGTAAAAAAACAAATCTTCCCGTTAAAATTTTAAATGTTTACTTATGTTAGTAAATAAATAATTGATTTTGTGACATTTAATTCCATACAATCACTATAGAGTTTATTTATATGATATTAATCTTACCTGTAGCTCGTCAAGTTGAAAATGTGATAGGTCGTGAAATGCAATCTCACTGACAGCACACCGAATAGATGAACTTTTAGAAGCGTTCTGCTGTCGGTTGCTGTGGGTACGACGTGCTTATGGGTCTTCGTTGCGCTGAAAATGATTTCATGGTGTTACCGATAGGGTGCGCTTATAATTAAACTCCAAAGTAGAAATGATATTTTAAGTTGCTATGATACACAAATTTATTATAATTAAGGTGTTTTTGACAGATTGAAAATCGAATTAAAAATAATTTTGCAGTTTTTACTTTATTTGATATTGTGATAATTATTTTCTAGTATGAAACTGACTAAATGCTTTTCAAAGGATAAAATTGAAAATGTCCGAAAACGCAGGCTGATAAAAGAATTCACCAGAGATATATTTGGCAAGTTTATAACCAACAATATACAATAGCATAATAAAAATATTACTTTACTATAACCATTTATAGACTTTATTTTTTTCTTATTAAGAATAATGAAAACCCTGTTCGGTTGTATATGCTTTGTTTGCAAAAATAATCTATATAAGTTTCAAACAACTTTCTCCTTCAAAAGTAAATTTTTGTAATGACAATAAATTAATTTAATAAATTGATTCAAAAGGTCGAATAGAGAAAGGAGTAAAACTTCACGACTTTGCTACTGATAAAGTATAATAAAAATTTTCTACTTTAAATATAAATTTAAAAAATTATTTAGCCTCTAAATAAACACTAAGCATTTAGCCTTTAAAAATATACATTGAGTTTCATGTTTTTGTATTCCTAAATGTTAACTGTTCGATCAAAATAAGATATTTTGTTTATTGACTCCTTAGAGACAACAGATTTTGTTTTTTACCGCCTACGACAACATTACGTTTGTTTACCATTTGTAAACAAACAATCATAATAGTCAGTAACCTCTAACTTTGAAATACATATGAAAACAAAACAACAATCATATTTTAACTTAAATAAAACATGTTAATATCATTACACAAAAATTGGGACATAGTGGGCGTTGTGAATTGGATTCACTTAAAATGAGGGAGGAATAAAATCCTGGACCATACCCGTAAGCTTTCTTAAAATAAAAAATATTGCTACGTTATTTAAATGTAGGTCTTTTAGTGATTTCAATGTACACAATGGCTTTATATTTGAACACCTAATTTATTTAAACATTATATAATGAGGTTTGATCAGAATTACAAGCTCCATTTATTTTTTAAATTATAACTAAATTGAAAAGAATTCCTACTTTATCGTCTAACTCGCGATATCTTTCTACTCGAAATTATATTATGCATTATTTCATTACTTTTAATAAAATAATTTCCTTAAATAGCCAGGAGCATTTTTAAATTTACGTTACATTTTATATAAATAACAACCTGTTCTTGAAATGACTTACAATTTAATTAAATATCTTAAATTGTGTATTTTTTTACATATTTATATAATGCATAAAACTTATATAAATATGATATTATATTTATTAGTATATCCTTATGTTGACATATACAAAGTGTTCAGTAAGTAAGAAAACAGGATAATTGTTACAAACAATGAGAACTATAGAAGTCGTTTCCTTACTGAACATTCTATATGGTTAAATTATATTTTGTTCATCAAAGTATCATATTTTATTGAAAAATTTCTATTATAGTAAAAAATAGTATAATTGTGATTCTTATTAAAATAAATAGTTTACGCTTATAGTCAAATAAGCAGAATATAAAATTGAACTACAAAATATTTGTTCAAAAAAATGCTACTTGACAATTTTAGATCCTAACAAAAGAATTTTGAAAATAAACTAAAATCATGGTAGTGATAAATTGAAATAAAATCAATTCCCATTAAAATAAATAACTTTTGATTTTACTGTATTCATATAGAAATTTGTAACGCCATTTTGCTTTTGAAATATAATGTTGAACCTTGAAGACATTGACCGATTACACGTGTGAAATTTAGTAATAGCTCAGAAATTTTATTCAATTCTTCAGTATGTTCAGTATAAGGCGACACTTAAATTTTATTTTATTGTCTTTTTTTCATTCCACTGCGTTCATTTAACGATCCAAACAAAGAACATAAGTAACTAAATATTCTTTTATCTAAAAGAAGTGTTAGCATAATGGTTTAGTTTCTAAAAAATGTTTTGAGATAACTAAGTAGACAGTCAATTTTAAGTAAAAACTATTTTGATCATTTTTAATAATACGACATACTTCTGCTAAAAAGATATGATTTTTTATAAACCACAAAAGAAAAACTTCATCCCAAATCCAATCCCAATTAAATAAGAAAAACAGTGTTTATTTCATTTGATTAGGTTCTAGCATTTATTGATATTCACAGAGTATTAACTATAAATTTAGTAGCACACAGCATATTATGTATGATATAAAAATAAATAAAAATTAAATCACAGAAAAGTTTCAATATTTTTACTTAATGTAATGGTAATTTTTGGAGTTATACATAACCTTGACCTTAAAATTGATATATTCAATTTAATTCGCAAAATTAAAATTGCTCAGTGACATTTTTTTAAGTCAGTCAAGCACAAAGTTAAATGGTAGCAACGCTATTAATGGTCAAAAAGTTTTTGGATGTTTGACCTTTTTTAACAGGACTGGGAAAAAAGTTTTTCAAGTTCAGGCTATTACCGATTTATTTTTGTCGTTATTTATTCGAATAATAGCTTAAAGTATTTCACATTAATGAATAAAGTGTTTTTTATACTTTGATTTAGATAAATACAAGAACCAGAAATTTAAAAAGACTAAAAAAGTTTTGTTGCTTATCTATGGTATATGTTTGAGTTTAAGTAAGTGCTTTCTTTACTATATATCTTGCAGTAGATATCAGATTAGATAGGTAAAAGTAATTTACCTTTTTTATTTCAGTGTTTTACTACTTTATTCTTTTAGACTTACAGTTTAATACTCAGTCTACAATCCTGATGGGATTCATTATCGGTATATTTTTGTCCGTCGGTCATGTAATTTCACAACAAGTAATATCAAATTTTTTCAGTAACTCATAAGATCTATTGAAACGCTAAATGCAGCAATGTAAATTATTCAATTTTCGCCAGTAGTTATTAAAAAAACTAAATAATACGTTTTTAATATATATCAAACTATATTTTTTGGGTTATTATTAAGGTTTCGATTCAAATTTTTCAACTTTTTCAACATGTGCTAAGTAGACTAAGGAAAATATTTTTGTAATGATATTACTGTTAAAAATAGACTTAAGCATTTTAGATTCATTCATTCGATGAATTTATTTGCTATTCCTGTTTCGTACTAAATATTTTAATATCTCTAATCAGAGATCACATTAATTTTATTGAACAGAAATAATATATATGTATATTTAAATGTTACTATATAAGATAAAATCTTATTATAGATTAAAAAAGTTATATTTTCTAAGAATTATACTATTAATTTCTAGGTTACGGTATGAATACCAAATAGTTTTTAGATTTTGATGACTAAGCCAATTTAACTAATATAAAAAAAACACCTTAAACAACAATAATCAAAAATCAATTTTATATAAAAAAACATGAATAGTAAACCAAATATGTCATTGAAATTTGTTCTATTCCTAGAACAATTTAACTCAAAAGATTTTATTACGCTATAAAACTAGAAAACAAATGAAATATAAATTTTAATATTTTCCTATATTTTAATGCCACGTTTATATTTTTACAGCTGAATTTTACTTGGAAATTATTTGCATTACTTAATGTTATATAGCACCATGTGATGAATAATTGAAATTCAAAAATAATGACCAACCAATAAGTTTCAATGACATTCGAAAGTGATTCCAATTCTCTTAAATTACGCAAAGTGTTATTAAATTACTACCCTCTATATTTATCGTTAAATAATGATTTTTTTCATAGAAATTTATAGATTTAAATTTAATTTATTTTTATAAACTCTTATAAATGTAAAGTTTATTGCAAGAAAAACTTATTTCTAAGGATTAGGAAATAGGTGTCACTATCTAAAACTAATTAAGAACCTATTTTTTTTCTATGAAATGAAGAATAGTACAAATGAAATGTTGACAGGTCGAGAAACAGTATTGTGTTATTGTTTTTTGAGTTCTTATAATTTTTAGTTATAAGCTAGAGGAGTCTCAACATAAAACATTATTTTGTGTTATAGTGAAAATAGAGCATCACCAAACGCAACATGAAATTTAAGAAATTTGAGTTAAAATAATATATTATTTTATTAGTCTTTAATATTTTTAAAGGTATGATAGTATTTATTAAATTTAAGCAATGAATACATTTATTTATACATATTTTATGAATCAAAGCTACTATAAAACATAATTATTAGATTTATCCTTGAAAATTATTAAGTACATTAAGTTATAGTAAAAATAATATTATAGTTAAAAATATCAGACTAAATGAATAACATGGGAAGATTTAGCCCTACTTTAAAAACTGCTAAAACAATTTCGTATAACCCGATACAGAAATACTTATGATATGTGTTTTTTGAATAATTGTTTTTAGCTATAAGTTTAAAAATTATAAAAAATATTATAAACGAAAATGATAATTTCTAAATTGTTAACGGTTAACAAACCGTATCACTAATATTGAGCAATTTAAATACAGATCAGATGTTTGGGTTTATTGTCAATGCCAACTTTCTGTGATAAGTCTGGTCAACGAGTTTTGGTGACATTGATATTCGCATATGTCATCGGAGGACCTATGAATAACATCGCAGTTAACGGATCCGAAGTCATTAGGGTATTTACCTGCTCAGGATCGTTAGCGTACAACTTGACCAAGACTAGATACGAATTGATGTTCAAGCCGTTTCAAGAAGCTATATTCAATCTTAGAGTAAGTAGTTATTGTTTACAAAAGACCATGTATTGTATCTTAAATGTCACATAGCCCCACACAAAATAAAAATACGCAATTACAATAAAACGTATGTCGTAGTAAAAAAAAAAAATCTTATTACCCATGTCCTGTCTTAAGTGTCAGCCCTTCTATTGTGCATGATATATTAACATAAGACCTTTATTGAATATAAACAACACTATAACTTGTCAATCGATAATATACATAAAGTAGTAGGATTCTAATACGCAATACTACTAACGACGAATTTATACATAATATTACTTATACAGCTTTACACAAATATGACATGCCAATCAAATTAACAATATAAAGTAGATTCACACAATATTGAACCAAAAAAATTGAGTAACGACACCAAGTCAATATTTAAGTAATTTCCAAGGTTAAGTACTACAAACTCCCAAAAAATTTGTTATACCAAGTTGAATATTTGTTAAGTATTAAAACCATACAATTTCCAGTTGAGTTTGATGTGTAATCCAGTGATGGATTTAGAGGTGTGGAAACCTCGAGGCAACAAAGGAGTGGATACCCCCTGACCCCAAATTATTTTCCAAATAAAATTGACAACTTTTTTCATGTTTGTACAAAGTACCGTAGGTATAGGTAAAACGTGAAAAAAAATATTAATGGAAAAGTTGTTTACTAGTCTAAATTTGAATTTTTTTTCAAAATCTCTATTGTGGGGACCCTTTATTTGTGGAGGCACCAGGGCTGTAGTCCCGATTACCCTCCCCTAAATCCGGTCCTGGTGTAACCATACATTCTAAAAGCTTTTAACTTATTTTTATCAATATTAATAATGGGACATAGAATTTAGTTTATTTTTCCTCTGCCAAACATTCAGTACTTCAGAACAGTCTTATTTTCTGACTTTAAAACTTCCTAGGAAAATACACACTATTTTCATATTAATCACATCCATTTTCTCTTGATACGTGATTTTTTTCATTGCCGACAGTCGGCATTAAGCAATGCAATTTAAAGTGTCATTAGAAAATAAATTTAATGCGATTTAAAGTATTTTTTAATTAAGTCAATTCAACAAATATACAAATACATTAAAATAATAATAGACTTTCATTCATTCTTCACGAATGCTTCATTCATTTACTGTATTCTTTTATGATAATAGCTTTCTATTTTGTTTAAAGAACAGAAAAATTTCAACACAGTATTCTTATTTTATCTAATTTAATAACCATCTCGATTACGTCGTGTATGTTCGTTTCTACTGTAATTGCTCGAATTGCACAAAAATCTACTAATTTTGGAATAGTGAACTATCAGACGAAAGTATAATTTATCTACCATCCTCTCAAAAGTACTCGGACTTTAGTATCTAGACAATACTGTACCCTTGTTTTGAACAAAGGTTAACGACCATAATATAAATAACAATTCTGCGGTACCAAAGTACGTTGCAAAATGCGATAAATAAAACGAATGGTTTGGTAATGGACAAGATGCTTCGGAACTATACAAAATTAGGTGTTAGTAAAGGGATTTAAGATCGAAAAAGCAAGCTCCAGTGTAAAATGTCGTTGCGATTAGCATAACAGATGAGTTCTTATCAGTAATGTTCGCTTCTAGTCACGGAACATTCTGAAATCCACCGCGCGATAGCAAAACGCCACATCCCAAGTGATTTTTGTCAATGACTATTTTCGTATGCCAAAATCATGCTATTTGAATACGCCATATAAAAAAAAACAAGTTCAGCCACCTTAGACTTATTTAATATTCACTTATACATACTAAGCAGATAGTTTCACAAATTTAAACAATTCTAAGTGTTTGAGTGAACAGATAGTAACGAACATAATACGCTACATTACTTGTATTTTCCACTGTAAAAACATACAAAGAGAGGACGTTCAATGAGTTAATTATTTCTATAGCTCAATAAAAATTTTATTTCAATGAATCATTTAAAATATTAGCTAAAAATTTGTCTGTTAAATATTTCATAAAAATAATATTACTCCATTATAAAAATATTTTATATGTATTAACTTATTTTTTGTGGATTTGAAAAATAGGAAGCATTTTAATAAACTTTCAAATCTATATGTTAAATTATTTGTTTTCCAAACTCAAATATTAACTAAAATTTTCTACTGTAAAGTTAAATAATAAAATAAAAATGATTTTTAAATTTCAAAATCAATATCAATTTATTTCAGCAAAAATGATTGATATGACACTCTTTTACCAAACCATACTTTAAAGAAAATAGTATCACATGAAAAATATTTTTTCAATTATTTAAAACAATTGAATTCCAAAAAATATACTGGAATAATTTTCTTATTATTTAAGTATTATCATATTATTTATTTTACATTAATTATTTCTATATACACCATTTTTTGAGGATATAGGTATATAAAAATATTACTAAAAAAAACCCCACAATTTAATTTTTTTTCAGTAACATAAAGAGTTATACTTTAAAATGAATTAATTTACAATCATATTAGATATTTATAAAAATGAAAAGATCATAAACATTTTAACAAATGACCTTGGACATATCTAGAGTGAATTTAGAAACATATTTGGAAAACTTCAAATAAATAAAGCGAATTCAATAATTTATTGAACACACGTTTTATTTATTATAATCTCCAATTAAATATTAATGGAACACACAAATTATAGAATAAACGTTGGACAACAGTCGCGAGTGTTCAAAACAAGGTATCAACCACAATCATAAATTATTTATTTAGTAAACTCAATGAGAACTTTTCGAAATATATCATACCTAATGTTTACCACAGTGGGCAATATATATTTCATTAATAAGTTAAAAACTCAAAAAACACACGAGATTCATAAACAAATAACTGACTGACAGCTGTGACACAATTTAAATTTATAATAACGTGGTTGAAATATATTTATATATATTTTACAGCATTCATTTGCTACTATGAATTATTCAAATGTATGACGCAGTGATCAACTAACATATAATTTGATAAACAGATTTTATACTGTGTAATATGACACACCTTTCGTATCAAGTAAAACGATTTCTTTTAATAATTACTTTTAAATACCACCTGGTTCTAGTTATAGACTTTCAAAGTTATTCATACACGGAAAAAAACTATTGAGTAAATAATATACAACATATGGTTTATCTAACTATCAAAAATAGATAACTAAATCTATTAAATAATTCCAAGTAATATTATAGTTGAGCTAGTTATACGAGCTAGTTAATTAAAGTAATAATAACTAAAATATATTTTTCTTAAATAGAGTAGATTTGGGGAATTTTAGCCACATTAGCAAGAATTGACATTTTTGACAAAACGTTAGTCAAAAATTCTTGCAATTACTAATAAATAGAGTATTAACATGTAAGATACAGCATATTAATATTTAACATTATTTTAATTAGTTTAAATATTTTTTTTTAATTCAAAAAAAGAGGGAAATGACTATGATTTCCTCGACATAGAGAATGATAATTACTTAACAATTTTCAATCACGCAAAAAGCAACGGAGAAACACTGCACTTACCCCTAGTAATGCCAGTTATCCTCAGGGTGTCTGGTTTGTCCAACACCCAAAACGGTTTGGAAAAAAACATTTTTTTGTTTACTAAGTTTATAAAATTTTTAATCGTTACAATTTGCTCGTTATTTATATTATAACCAAAGTGATATATAACAAAATAGACTTACCTCGAAGAAAGTTTTTAGATCCCAAGTTTTCACGAAATATTTGTGATAAAACTTTAAAACAACTTTTAGAAGACAAGAGTAAATTGATAACGATCATATTTAATTTTTAATGGTTTGATAACCCAATTAATCATTTAACATGGTAACCTGATTTTCATCTAATACAGATTTGTAGAAAACTAGGTGACCACGAATTCTACTGACATTTCGTTCCCCTAATCTCCTAATCAGCGATTATAATTTCATATGAACTTATTTTCGACTGAATAAAACATGATAAAATACTATACTTATATTTCACTCTTTTAATAATCTCAAGTTGATTTTGGCATTGTAAATGTTCTCTTTATACTTAGTATATATATATATATATATATATATACCTTTTAAACATTTAATAAAGTATGTATCACACATTATACATAGTATGAACAAATTGACATACTTTTGAACATGGTCAGTAAAATTTACTTTTTTGAATGATTAGAAGTGAAAACAAAATTTAATTGGAATATTTTATACAAAATATCATATCTTCATAAATCAGAATTACCAATCATCGTATTTTACTGATGTATGAAACTTCAACGGACATATAACAAGATCTTTAAACAACATACACAATAAAACATTTCTCTGATCACTATCTATTGAGTATCTCTAAAATAGTATCAATCAAGTTGAATTTTAATTTTTTTTTCAAAGACTTCATACAACTTATTATTTACTCACTTATTTCGAAATTTTAAATTTGAAAAATTTTAACAAATGGCTTATATCTACAATTTATAAGTAACGAAAAATGTATTTCAACATTTTTATAGTTTGTATGTTACATATCACAATTACTTAATTATAATTAAATAAATAATTATTTATTTATTTTATTATTATTTAAATCATTAATTTAGCAATTAAAAATTTCTAAAATTGATATAAAAATCCCAAAGTTATATAAACCATAAAAGAGGTTTGACTCTAAAATCTTTAAATACAAAACGCGCAATAATTTTATTGATCAAAAAATTTTGTTATTTCACGGTTTTTGGGTCAATGTTACCAAGAAAAATTAACTTTTTTTTAAACTGAATTTAATAAAAACTTAAATTGTCGCTTTGGTAATTTCAGGCAGATACAAATGAAGTAAAAGAAACTATAAATTCCGTAAACGACGTGATTGATCCAATTAAACAAGAATTCGAATCGGATGAAGAAGAAATTGTATTGCACGAAAGTAACGACTACTTGGATGATATTCAAGTGAGTTAGGGTACCTAATTAAAAAATTGTTTCAAACATAAACATCGCTTATTTAAATTCTTTGTCACAAACTCTTGTTTTTCTTGAAAATCTTCTTGAACTTTTAAACAATTTAATGCGAGAATTAAATAATTATTGAATTAACTAATAATTCCTTAAATTGATACACTATTAAATTTTTGTGTAAACATTTATAGCAATTTAAAGTGTACTGAAATAAAACAATACTTAAAATTATCATTTCATTTTTTGAACTCAAACTATTTATATGTTGATTATAAAATATGCAATAAAAAAAGAAAAATGAAATTTTCTTCATGGGGAAGTACATTAATTCTTTTTATTTTGTTTAATGTACATTTTATTCTGCAAAATATACACAATAGGTGTAGAAATACATTGAATGAGTTCGTTGACTCAAATTTTTAGTAAGCCATTGACCCTCATAAATTTTATAATACGTGCATTGTTAAAACTCCAACTCGAAAGTAATAAACGTGGAATAATTTGTATTGTCATAACATGTGGTCTATTGAAACATCTATTTCGGTTTAGGGATCATCAAAATTGGACGATGATATCAAAAAACGATACAAAGTACCGGAACCGGAAGAAGTAGAAAAAATGTATAAAGACAAACTGCGAAGGAAATGCGAAAGTAATAATTACAGAACAACAAATTTATCTGTAAAATATACACATACATTTGCATTACATTACATTTTACTTTAAGTTATTTATACCCTTATGAACAAATTTAGTATACTCCCTAGTTTAATTTAAAATAAAAATCGATTTAATAAAATTTTCATTTTTAGTATAAAATAATGCTGGATGTAATTTTATTGAAATTAAAAATGACTCCATGTTAAAAAAAAACTAAAAATATGTTATTAGTATTGAACAAANTTTAATAAAATTTTCATTTTTAGTATAAAATAATGCTGGATGTAATTTTATTGAAATTAAAAATGACTCCATGTTAAAAAAAACTAAAAATATGTTATTAGTATTGAACAATAAGTTCATTCATAATTGATTAACTTGTACTGTAAAACAACTTAAAGAACTATACATACAATTCTTTTATATCACTTCAATTAATCATTTTTAAAAAGACTTTTCTTCATCTCAAAATATGTTTACTTTATAAATTATAGTCGCAGACAACAAAATATCTCACCAACTTTCTTTAAAATAAAATGTTTTTCAATTAAATTCAGTCAGACAGCATTGTTTTATTATTACTATTTGATCACTCGTGTTTATGTTAATAATTGAAGTCAAATACAACCTTAAATGTGTAGACTTCTCTTTCCAATAAGGTTCTTTTCTTCTTTAAAGAGTTTGTGTACCCTTTTGTAACTGACATTAATACTAACATATCTTACCAATCATTTCTTGGTTTTCATACACTACCTATGCTGGCCATATTTTCAATCCACTACACATTCACTATTTATTTATCCATGAAATCTAAAGTTTCTGTGATTCAATAACACGCTTTGTCATTATACTGCAATCGTCTTAAGTATTTCAACTCTATTTGAACATAATTAAGGATAGTGCTTTTTCCTTGTACTTCAACTCTGATTCAAAACTGACAAAAATATGAATACATTTTTTTCAATTTCTTGTGTATTCATATTTAACAAATATTATTTAAACCTAAAGCCGGAGGGATTTCAAATTAACACATACTCAATACTTAATTCAGCATCAATTTCGCTTGATGTAATAAAAAAAAAATATCCAGCCTTATGACAACCACTAAATTTCCGAATGTCACTTATTACTGAATAATTATTTTCATCAATACTTAAAAATTACCAATTAAAAAAAAATCTCTACTTTTTTTGTTCAATCACAAACGTGTGCAATATAAAACACGTTTTTTTTTAAGTAGAAAAACATAATTTATGTTACTTAAACAGAATTATTATTCTTTTCTATAATAGTCTGGAAAACACAATGTTTAACGTTTAAACAAATTGTTTTAGTTAACCTAAAATTAGTTTATTACAATAATGAAAAAAATAATAATTCTGTTTAATAACTGCACGTGTAATCGCCTCGTGATTAGTTGACAAAGCACTACCACCGGCAAAGTATCGATCGAAGACATCGGACACCAAGTAGGTTACGTTTTGCAGACAAACACGTGTATTGAACACGAGATTTCGACATAAGTGCAATATTGCATAAGTCTCATTTCTTAGGTATCATAAGAGCAGCAGATGAAAAATGTAAGGCAGCATTTGGAAAAGCGCACAATTCCTGTAAGGATTCATTACACTGGTCAGTGTCATGGGCCTTATGTTGGCCAATGCAAATAACTTTCGTGTGCAATCTTACGCCTCGTAAGTATAATTTATGTTTACACCATCACTTCGTTAATGAGTATATAAAAAATTGTAAAATACACTTTTACACCCGATGAGTTTTACTCAAAGTATCGAGTAATTACAGTGTATAAAATTCAAAATGTTAATAGAGTTTTCATTATTTTATGACAATATATACTATGTATTGTTCTGAAATTGACATGAAATACTCTGTCAGAAAAATATTTGATGATAAAACTATAAAGACTATATGTTATCAAACCGAAATGCATTTCTAAAAGCATTGCAATAAAATTAAAGCTAAAAATCCTTATATTACTATAAATTGAGTATTGAGCACGATTTTTTTAGTCTTTGGCGGAGGTGACATTTGCAATCCTGAAAAATCGGTTAATTCTGGTTTTGGAAAAGGATATGTGTACTTGACTAAAGCAAAAGATGAGCTTAGACGAGAATTTCTAAACGTAAAAATCAATTACAAGTTGAATAAACCGAAAATAATGGTAATCATGTCATATTCATTTTTATTCGTTTTGGGTGTGCATGAATTGTATACCTTATAATGTTAATAGCAAAATCCTGTAAGTGCCCAACACGTGCAGCGTATAATCGCTGTAATTTTATTATGTTTTACATGATTATATACACAAGAGCTTTATTTAATTTCCTATAGATAATTTAACTTAATAGTAAATTAAGTAAAGTACCACGTGCAAAATTTAATGTAAAGCTTGTTCGCGAAAAATCGTACATCTGATTTAAAAGCTAATTATAAAAATATCCTAAAAAATTTAATCAAATATTATTAGCCCATATTAAAATTTCACGTATACAAAGTAGGGTTCGTAAAATTGTATTACATTAAATATTATATTTTATTAAATAATATATTAAATAATTAGAAGCTCGACTTGGCCTAGTGGGTAGAAACTTATGTTTCGGCGCCTTCTTATGGTCAAGTTGATCTCCAGGGCACCAATGTGATTTTTTGGTATCTGATGCAAGCCGGCCATAATATCTGTCCCGTCCATCTTTGACTCCCTAGCTGTAAAACAGAGCTACCACCCTCTGTAGTATGTTAAGCTCGAGAAATAGAAGGATGTAAAACTGATCATTATTATATTATATTCATTATTATAAATTAAATCAAAAGGGTAAAAAATATATAAACGTGGAACCGCAAGAATAAGAACAAGTTTTTACAATATACAAATAAAAAACACATCAATGTAGCAAAATTGCCTACACAGTCCGCCATGTTATAGTTTACTAATTTAACATAGTTAACTATCATACATCCTTTTCCCGCTTTTGTTATATTCAACATACACGTTTAGAGGACTAACCTTTAGACTATGAACATAAGGCTCTATATTTCTATGGTGGCTCGTATATGAAGTATGTCATTAACCCGATAAAAATCCTCACTCCATTATGTTGAAAGTAATTTTATCCAAAATAAGCGCACAGAAAAAAATGTATATAATTATGATTAATATCATAAGAAAGCTCTATTCGAATAGAGATAATGAACTATAAGATTAAAATCATTGACATAGCAAGAATATCTTGATGGGGGATAGATTACAAGTATATAAATATACAAAACTAACCAAATAAGTATCATATTTAGACAAATTTGATTAATTAATATAGTTTAAGTCAAGAACAATTATTTAATACCGTTTAAAACTATTTTTCTTAAATGATTTTAGTGAAATATATGAAAAATATCAACGTGATTTTCACTTAAAAAACTTTAGAAAAATTAGAAAAAAAGTTTAGTAAAGTAAATAACAACAATAGTAATAACAAAAAATGAATATCACAATTTTGTATGATTAAACACAATTTAGTTTTTCATGAAAACAATAACGTTTGTCGACATACTTCTCCTTCTTCTTTCTCGCCTTAATCCCAACTACTTGGGGTCGGCCAAATAATCGACATACTTACTTTTAAAAATTAAACACCAATTTTAATTTATTTAAAAAAGTTTTTAGTGTATTTTATGATGTTGTAAATGTTTTAGCTTAGAAAGGCACAAACTACTGCGTAACAAATACATTAAAAATGTAATATATATATATTTTTTTTAATAAAGTGTAACATTAAATGTAAAAATAATAAACTTATTCCATTTAAAAATAATCATTAAATTATAAGATTAAATTTGTAAATTTCAGTAAAATATATGCAAACATACAAAGATTATCGTATTAAATATTTTGCATATTTATTGAATATATTCAACATTTTGAATAAAACAAAAGTCATGTTTTGACTTGTCGTAAATAAATACTAAAGAGATCAGTTATCTTTATCTATTGAATTTTTTAATTCAATTACAGGCGCTCATTCAAGCATAGATAATTTTCATGGAAAAAGTTACGGGTCTATAACCAATATTTAGCATGAAACTATTTCATTTTCTTTTGCCCTTTTCTCAATAAATATTTTATTTATTTTATATTAACCTTATATAATAATGTTTGATATCGTAAAAAAATATGAAAAATTCAAATTTTCACAAACTTAATGTGCTACGTATAATTTTCTACTGAGCATTAATGAGATATATGTATACCAATTTTTTTCATAAAATATACTTTACAAAATCGATATTTTGAAATTTTTGTTTACATTTTTCATAAATTAACAAAAATTTTTTTTTTAATAAATAAAAAAAAATCCAAATATACCAATTATTAAAAAAAAATAAAAGTAACACAAAATATTGACTGGAATTAAAAGTTATTATAGTTGTCAGAACATGCGAAACTCTAGTATATGTATAGTATTTTTCGTGCACTAAATACAAAAGAAGCATCCATTTAAATTGAAAGAGTGAGCGTATAATGAAAATGGGTTTAAAAAGCTAATATTTCATATTTGTTACATTAAAATAAAACAATCCCTTTGTCTCTAATAGCATATTCCAAATAAATATGTATCATAAATTACACGCAAAATGAGGCAATTTACAAGATAAAACTACATGATTTTAGAGAGGGATAATTTGTGGTTTTTTAGACTATCATTAGCAGAGCTCCAGTCGTATACCATATTTTTTAAATAAATCTTCTGATATATACAACCCGTTTGTTAAATACTTTTTCACTGATTTCAAAAAAATAATTTATACAAATCAGAGAGTAAAAACTATCTTAGGAAGTCAAAAGTAATTAATAAACTTTAAATAAATGGTTTATGAATTTAACTTATCGTTATTGTTATTTGCTAAACCGTGTTTTTATTCGAATTAAATATTATTAAAATATTTATCTACGAATAATTCATTAAACACTACAGGCATTATGCTTAAGACCTACAATTAGTAAAGATGCCTAAAATTTTTAAATACCTTTTTTCTTTGTTCAATACGCTTGTTACAGTGTTTATTTTAGGTTACAAACATTTTTTTTAATTAGTACCAAAGACCTTTGGAAAACGTAATTCAGTCGCTCATACATCAGTTAAGTGTATTTTCATTATATTTTAGTCATTCTGTGATAAAATAATGAACACATTATATAGTTTGAATGAAATAATTGACTTTACCGAGATTTTATTTTTTTGGAGATTCTACTGTAGATAGAGTTTATAAAAATGAAAAATACATAACGTTAATCATTGACATTTATAAATTTAGTATACTCAGTATATTTTATAAAATATAGGTCATTATTATAATAAACCTAATTTTGAAATGCCTGTCTAGATAATGCTTGATTGCTCGACTAATTGAACCAAACCTGACCAAGTCTTATAACCACTTACAAGATAAAAGATATATTGTTTTGTAAAAACACGTAACTGTTTTGTCTTATTGACAGTTCGAATATTTTCTCGTAATAAATTGCCGTACATACGACACACAGCCGACTGCAGTCACCAAATTAGTTTTTCGTTAGAATTTTTTTAGGTCAAGACTGAAAAAATATCTCTAAAATTATGTAAAACTAACAAAAATGTTCTGCATATTTTCAATTTTATTTTCTCCTGCTGAAAAATCACCAGAATTCTGTCAGTACATTAATATTTTTAAAAAATGTATTCAACAACAATGTCACAAATTTAAAACTAAATAAAAATTAGGTATCTGTATAAATTGCATTTGTATCATTTGCATTCTGCCATTCGAATAAGTGGTCGGGTTTTTTAAAACATTTTCCTTTTAAAATAATAATTTCGTTATAAAATTAAAGCATCAAGGTCAAAGAAGTAATAAGCTTTTTTCTGAACAATTTTTATGAATCAAGTTTTTAATTTCAAGAAACTTGCAGCTTTTATAAATAAATTTTCTTTTTTTAAATAAATCAATAATCAATTTTTAATAATTAACAATAATAAAAAACTCCTAAACAATAAGAAATGATTTAACAACAGACATTGGAATGATAATTTCTGAACTTACTATTCTTCCTAATGGTCGTTTTCCTCTGAATTAAATTATATTATATACAAATGATACAATTTTATTTTAAGCTACATTTTAAACTCATGAGCAAAATACATTTAAAAAAACAATCGCTATAAGTATTTTTTGATTAAACTTACAAAACACAAAAACCAATCAAAAGTAACTTTGTATTCATATTTGTAAGATGCCATTAATGGAAATTGCAAAATATTATCCTATATTTCAATACAGCTAACACCATTATATTAGCCAAGTTTTAAAAACTAATAGCTGGGTAATTAATTCGTTATTACTATAAAAATGATAATACTTTTATTAGTCTCACTAAAAATTAAAACCTTGAACTTGAAACTATATAAATGAACTTAACCGTAAAATATAATACACATTTTTTTCATTTCTACGCCAACTAACTATTGAATATTGATTTCGACTAATTAACAAATACAATCATAAATAAACTCCTCAAAATTATAATTTCTAACTTATTGCCAGTTACTTGTTTTATATTTTTATAAATCACTATATAAGTTGTAAAAATAATAACTACAAATATATTTTAGCCTGAGCATTTCAAAGAAACTTATGATGCAACGACAGATCTATTAATGGAATTCCGTGAAAAAAGAGATGCAGCTGAAGTATTATTTTTATTTTCTCGGCGTTTTTTGGCTTTTTCTTTTCTCAAAGTTATTTTAGAGTAAGTAGACTAGTTCTATATAGCCATACTTGCATTAAAATTAAAAAAATAATCATTTGAATAATTTCGACTTGCAGTAGTCACCATTACCTACACAAATACCTCACAGACATAGAACATGACAATATGTACATCAGTAAGTATTTCCGAAAAATCGATGGTCGCAGAAAGAAAAAAAACCAACACACATTATTGCCATTGAAAAAAACCGAAAAAAAGAAATTCATAAATCTGAAAAGCATGAATTTTGGTAGATTTGAGCGCAAACACTTGGTAAGGTACTTAATAAAACCAAGTTTTTTCAGACCTTGTTTCATTGAACGACAATCTTTGAAGTTCCACAAAGTTGCCTTATAAATATTGAATCATAGAAAATCTTAAAAGGTTTTTTATAAAAAGTCTCAAAGGCTAAACTCACGTCGGAATGCATGATTCAGTATTTGAACTTTGTTAGAGCGACTCTTTTTAAACTAAAATTGTATTTTTTGTACATATAATTACATACATATTGATTACGAACACTAATTTTTCTTAACTGCTTCCATAGACATGTCTATTAATTATTTGGGATATAAATGTTCGTATTTTTTAGATAGGGTACTTTTGTCGCTATAGTAGATTATCAATGTAAAATATCTCCAAATACTACAGACCTAGAGGGTTAAATTGAAAATGTTGCATAATAAAACAACTTAGTCTACTCTTAAATTCATTATGTTCGATATCAGTGTTGGCAGACATAAATGAAAAATCGAAACAGTTATATTTAAATGTACCCACACGATCAGGTAGAGAAAAATTATTTTGTTGTATAAAAGAACCAAAGCACCCAAAAAAACTTTACATAAAAAAGGTATATCATTACTATTTTTATACATGTCAGAATACGCTAAGATTAATATAAATGGTTCATTTGTAACCCCTTTTTTTATAATAATAGTAGTTAATTTGCTAATTCGAAAAACAATTATATTACACAAAGAATATCAAAATTACAATTTTAATAAACATAAATATATCAAAAGTACAATTATTAATATTATATTATATTGGCTCATTTCTAATAAGCTTTTAGCTCATGCTAAGAAGTGAGAATTTCTCAAGCCTAATTTGTATTAGATTTTAATTGAAAAGTAAAATTCAATTTTATATTATATTGCAAAAACAATTCTTTATAATACAAAACAAAAAAATGAGGTACATTTAAATCTAAGTATAATTGATTTGATGAACAAAAAAAAGGGTTAGACAATAACATTTTATGGAAACTATAAACAGTGGTATTTAAGTGAGTTAAATATGAACTATAAGTGCTTCCAGAAGGGTAACCCATTGATAACAAATTATACTAAAGAGATAATTACAATCCTTTAATGTTGAATATATAAAATATTTGTTTATGCTTTTATAACTATAAAATAATTGTCTGTTAAAAATAACCAACTCATCAGTATAGTTTCTCATCGATAATAAGACCAAGATATTTAATGTAAATAAATTTATTAATATGCTCACAACAGCAATTAATTTACTAATTTGTAAAATTTTATGAATGAGATATGGATATATCAATTGAACTATTTAATTTTGATCTTAGATTAAACAAGATATAATTAGTCTTAATTATATTTAACTCTACAAAATTATTATCATACCAATATCTAACTGCTTCTAAAGTACTGTTAACTTTATTTAAAAGTACATCCATGTTTTGATTGTTAAAGAATAAAACTGTTTAATCAGCAAAACTATTAACACTATTTGATAAATTAAGATTAAGAAAGCTATTAATAATAACACTGAATAACGATGGACCTAGAACTAAGACCTAGGCATCATATTAAATTATAATTTTTCTTTTATATTCATTATTGACAATTGTGATCAATCCATTTAGTAAGACTTAATTAAATTTAAAATATTCTCATATCTATTAGACATACAATTTATTTATTAAAATATCAAGATTAACAAAATTAAAAGTTCCTTTGATATCAAGAAAAACATCAATTACATTGGTGTTGTTATTACTGTATCATTAAAAGAAATTCCTTTCCTACAAAAAAATAATATTTTACAAAAATTATTAATAAACCTTACTTAAATTGAATTTTACAAAATTTTAGATAATGTTAGAGTTAGAAAAATAAGCCTTTAACTCTTAGATAAAAAGTTTATCACTAGCTTTAAATAAAGTAATTAATATGGTTTTTTTAAATAACTGAAAACTTACACGAATTAATCATTTTATTAAATAATAGAATTAATAGTCTAGAAATAGTGCTTTATGTTTTAGATAATACTAAAACAACAACAAAAAAAACTATATTACTTACATTTTTAATGTTCCGAAATTCATAAGTTCTTAATGGTGCTTATATTTTCATTTTCAGTTTACATCACTAATAAAATTATTTTTTGAGATCATGGCAGCTTCGTCATTTGTTGTACTGGATGCTACACTTTATGAAGCATTAGACGTAATAAGAAGACACGCAAGAATTGACTATTTCCAAACCGGTCATCATGATATGAGCATCAAAGTAAAGGGTACAGGAATGATTGCAAATTTATTGAGAGCTGTAGTAGATAGATTTAATTTCAAAAAAAATGTCACTATTAATCTAAGCAACGAAGGTATTTTTTTCTTATCATATATTTTGACATTTTAACTCTTTGATCTTTTTAATATTAAATTTCAAAATGTGTGTCAAAGATATAAGTAATGATTAAGCCAGTAGCAAAAATAGTGAGGGTTACACGAAAATTATATTGCGATATGACTTTGTAGCAAAATTATAATTTTAAAACACTATGCTATTTTGTCAAATAATCTAATTACAATAAATAATTTCCTTTGAAGCGTTATTCAATAATTAAAATAGTTCAACAAAATTTAGTTTAGTTTTAAAAAGACTAAGCATGTGAACTTAGTTATTCTACGTTAAACACAAAAAACAATTAGCCAAAATATAAAAATTAAAATATTTTAATAAAAAATAATTACGCATTATCTCATATTATTTGAGAATGTTGAACCCATCCACTTAGATCAAGAAGATTTAGAACCTATGATTTATTATATAATTTTACTTAATAGAATATAAAATGATATCATTCCATCGTACTTATTTATATAGTGTTATAATGTTAAAATAAATAAAATAAAATAATAAGGACAAAACATTTTTTGAATAATTCAAAATAAAGTTATGAAAATTAATATAGCGTGTTTGCCAAAACCACATAGATTGGATCATTATTACATACAAAAGATTTATGGTACATTTTTCTTGGTTTTCCTAATGGTCATATTCACTGGTTACACTAACCGAATGAAAAGATTAATTTGTGCTGCTTTCTTTCGAAAAAGAGAAAAACGTCGAATACTCTTCTTATACAATGAAACCTTGAGAAAACGAATTGCCTTTTTCAGATACATGAAACACAAAGTAGAAAAAATGGCTAAAGAAAATAAACTCAAAGTGTGTCTATTTTAACAAAAATAATCATATGTATATAATAAATAATTTCTCAATTTATTTAACAGGAGGATCTTAATGTATTTTTAATACTACGATTCAAATTTCCAAAAATATTTGGTTGGTTAGCATGGAGTACTTATGGTCGTCGTAAATGTCTTATATGTGGCGAACCAGAAACAATGGATGGAAAGAAATATGGTTGCAACACGGAAGGCTGTGTTTACATTCATTGTGAACAATGCTGGTCCGATGTAGGCATATGTTATGGCTGTTCTGAAGTATTCAAGAAGAATGATAACTATAATGATGTTCAAAACACACCTGAAGGATATATTGACACGGGCTATTCAGAATAAAAAGTTAATTGCCAATTTATTTGTCATTAAATATAATTTAAAGAATATTTACTTTATTTTATTTTACTTTATTTTAATGTAAATTATTGTATTTTCAATACAATAAAAATATATATATTTTGTGTTCAATTAAAAAAATGTATATTTCTTGTAGAAAAAAACTAAATTAAATTAATTAATATTCCTCAGCAAATTAGAATATTTACAAAAGACTGGACATACATGTAATATTAATTTTTGAGGAAGAAAAATAGTCATAATTTTTTCAACTCAAAAGCTTGATATTATTATAAAATAAATGAAATTTACTATTATTTTATGTTTATTAACATGTTAAAAATCACAAATAAAAAACAATTACCTAGCTTAATAATGTTACATAAGATCAAATTAAAAAAAAACAAATTTAATAAACGAAATAACAAATGTAAAAAATGACACAACATGATAAAACATGATTAACAAAACTGCTGCTTGTTACAAAAAATCAAGCTAAACAATAATGACTACAAATATAATAATTCACATCTTAATCAATAAGATACTAAATACTTTAATGACTGTTGTGATATAAAAAAATAAGAAATCACAATAAATAGGATTTGTTCAGTACTTATAAAAAAAAACAATTTACTATATAACATAGAATGTATGGAACAAAAAATTTGATTAAAAAAATTCTTTAATCGTCATCAATCACTATAATGTCTTCAGAAGGAGAATCATCCCTTAAAAAAAATAATGAATTTAAAAAAAAATGATACAATAGAATACTCTGATATGTAGCCATAATATTACTTACAAAAATTCACTTTTAATTACACTGAATTCTAATTTCATTATATTTATATAATCTGGTTCTAAACATACAAGGGAAGCTTTATAAATTTCTTCAACTAATGATCGAGAACCAAATGTATACTCAAAACGAATACATTCCATCCAAATTTCTATAATATTAAACAGTTTTTTTTAATCCAGATAAAAATGAAATAACATAAATATTAGTTACCAGTATCAGTTTTTCCAAACTTATTACAAGCCTCATTGTATATTTTTCTAATAGTATTAATATTACTAACATCATTGGTTTGAGTTTTTTCATAATTTATCATGGCCATATATAAATTTTGACAAGGAGGTTCTAGTTTTTTAAGTTCATTGAACAGATCTCGAGCTGCCAATAGTCCTTTATGAAGTACACACCAGTCAAGATAAGCTGGCCTTAACTCCAATGCTACTGATGTATACCCTAAATTTGAACCTTCTTGATACAGTTGTTCAATCTAAAAAATATTTGTTTTAATATTAATATTTAATTTTACAGGTCAACATTATTTTTTAAATTCCTGAACATATTTACACTTAAAATTCTCTTAATAATACTTTCTCAGTCATATATGAATAATCATTAAACAGGATGATCAATTAAAGATAAGAGAACTATTTTCTCAGAAATTATTGAATATTTTTAATTTTTATACAGGAAAAATTATTTGGTTAAATTTAACTACAATATTTTGTAGTTCAATAATTTTTTTCATCCATTACAAAATCAAAAACCTTAAATTTTCTAAAATGAAAACCTCTAATTTTATTATAAAAATTAATCATTTGTGACTAACATTATTTAAAATTAATACTATATTAAAAATATTATTAATCTAAAACTAAAAAATATTACTCCAAACTTTTTTTTTTTTTAATTTTACATTATGATGAAAAAAGTATAAACAATTTTGTTTTTAAATTTTTTTTATCTGATTAGCCACTTATCTTTAGTAATTCTTTTCTTTTAATAGAAGCATACACTAATATTCAATGTAAGTTTACTATTGGACATTGTCAGTTGACCTATGTGGACAATTATTCATTAATGCTTTCTTAGTAAAAATTAAACAACATTAAAACAGTAATAACTAATCAAATAAAAAAATTTTAAGAACAAAATAAATTGTTTTTTTTTTTTATATAATATAAAATCAAAATTACTGATAAGATGAAAATAAAAATTATTTAATCTTAAAATATTGTAGTTTTTCAAATCAAATACTTTTTCTTTTTATGATAATTTAAAACATTTAATAATTTCTAAGAAAATGGGCGTCTTATCTTTAATTAATCACTTGGTATTATCATTCATTTATAAGTCAAAAACTAGTGCTGCTTTAAACTAAATTTCATTAGCTAGTATTAATTTATACACATTTAAAACTATATTATTTATTAAGGTTATAATATTCATTAATTTACCAATTTTGGATGTGTGTTTTGCATGTATCTTATCATAATCAACCATAATGGTAAAGAGTTATCTTTCAATGAGCGTACACCTTCCTGAAAAGCCTCAACAAGATTATCAAAACAGTCATGTGTAACATATAAATTCAAAAGTTCTATCCATAGTTCTACACTAGATTTCAATGCTTTTACTGCTCCAGACAAAATAGCTCGTCGGTCATCTAAACTAGAATTTTCAGCCTGAAGAATATCAATTATAAAAATTATTATTATTTTAATGTATTAATTAAATTTAAAATGTACTTATACCCAGTATAAATAATATTTAGGAATGTGTAATGCACCACTTAAATGTGCATTTTGAAATGCACGTTCTAATGTTTCATGCATATATCGTTTAGTAGATTCATTTTGCATACGATAAGACTTTCTAATTTCAATCACAGTATCTAAGTATAATTCCCATAAATGTTGTTTATCAATTTGGAGTAAATTTTGATTCAAGACATCTTCATAAACATTTATACAATTACTAAATAAATAAAATTACAATTAACATAAAATATATGTATATTATTATTATCAGAATACGCTCTCTTTTAAATTCTAAACTACTAATAAAAAGTTTTGAAAAATTCTAGAAATTGGCTTATAATTAGTAAAAAAAATTATTATTATTATATTAGTATAGGATTAGATTTCACAGACAGTTTAGATTAGGTATTGTTTGGTTTTAAAAATATTTGAATTATTAAAATTAGGTCATTGCAAATTTTTTAAATTGATTTATTAAAAGTTAAAGAAAAATTTTAGATATTAACATTTTAATACATTTAATAGAATTTTCACCTAATTAATAATACTAAGGTTTTATTAAAAAGTAAAAATATTAGACATTATAAAATAATTATAAAAATTTAACAGATCCATAATTTTATTTAAAATTGGAATTTAGAATACAGTAAAAAAAAATACATTTTAGATATAACACATTTTATTTACAATTATTTATATTTCATAAAGTAAACAACAATTTAATCAATATATGTTATGATAAAATTTGTAAGGGATTAGCCTGGTCTAATGGATAGAAATGTATGATTCTGCGCACAGGGTTTTGGGTTTGATTCCTAGGACGCCAACAAGACTTTTCTTGTAATTTTCTTAATGGTAGTTTCTAGTCTCAAGCTGGCTATAATACCCGTCCCATCTAACATTGGCCTAGCCTAGAACCATTTTTGACTACCTTACATGAAAGAGGGCCACAACCCTTTATAAAATGTTAAGATTGGAAAATAATACAATGTAAAAACTGATCATATGTTATGATAAAAAATTTAGTAAATTTTTTTCACAATACCCATATATACTAAATTAAATGTAACAAAAAATAATAAATTAACTTAAGGTTTAATTATACTAACTGGACAGCCATATATTCATTGGAATACTGCAGACGTTCAGTTTGAGGATGATAGCAAAAACCATCCAATTGCATTTGAGCCAATTTATGCCAAAGTAATTCATGGTGTTTATATTTTTCAACCATATCTCTGTTTAATAGCAAAAATTAATAATTAACCAAATTAAAAAGAATAATAACTCAATACATACTTAACAATTAGTGACTGTATTTCTTCTACTGACCGTAATCTCAGTGAAACATCTAGCATTTTAATATGAAAAGAAATATCACCATCAAAATGCTTAATAGCAGATCTATATTTTTCAATACATGTACTGTGTTTTACGCCAGCTTCTAAACAATGTTGAACCTCCATCCAAAATTCATCCAAACATATTTCTTTGCACTGGCTATGATCATGTAAACCTTGTTCATAATACAGTCTTGCCTGTTCAATATTTTTACGCTCTTCAAACTCAAAACGTGCAGCAGTCATATAAAGTTCCGGATCACTATGATGTCGAGACATCAGCGTATTTAATAACTTACTGCACTTAATTAATAAATCCTAGCATATTTAAAAGTTTTTTTGTATTTTTAACAAGTAAAAACTCAACAAGTAAAATTTAACTTACATTGTTTAAACAAAATTCAATGTAGTCCTTTAAATTATTATTATCAACAGTAAAAAGCAAAAATAAACTTTTGTACATGTCATTAATGCGGTTAGAAATGATTTTGAATACATTGTGCTTAATATCAATACTAATATTCTCCTCAAATTCTTGCTATAAAATAAATAACAATCACCAAAATACACTTACATTCATTTTCTCATTAATACACATACTTTTAATTTTTGTTGACAAGACTCCAGTAAATCTGATTCAATATTTATTTGTTTTAATAACTCTTCTTTATTTGCTGATCCAAGTGTAATTTTCTTACTAATGGATTTTCGTCTATCGTTGATAATTCTGAAAATGATAGACTCTACACATACTATCTTAAAAAAACTATCACATAACTTACAAAACTTCTTCTTTTTTTAAAATTCCAAGAGCCTTCATAAATTGGCACTCTAATTCAATATTTTCATCGGAAGACATGATACCAACAATGTATCCCTTAATCATAAAAATAAAACCACAACAAACACAGTTTTGACTCTAAGAGTCCCGTCATTTTCTTTAAATTTTAATTTTTAAAAGTAATATATTTCTAAAAAAAAATTATTTCGTGTTCTCACACATATTTTATTTTTTAAATATGTACACAATTGATTATATTTTCGGATAACATTATCACTATAAATATGATATATGTAATTACTGTTTTTGTACTTATACACGTAGATAGCGCGATTCTAATGTAATGCAATAGATATTAAATACAAAAATGACTTTAACAATACTTGTTAAAGTCAATACTTTTTATCCTTCATTTTTTAAATAAAAGTTATTTTTTAAACTCTTTTTTTTTTTTTAGAAATAAAAGCGTTATTGAAATCCTTTAGTTTTAACTACAGATGAAGTTTATTTCAAAATAAATTATTTACAGTAAATGTCTACAGTTTTAACTTACAGCATTAAATATTGCAAATACATATTATGATATGTAATTTTCACTTGATACTATCTTATTTACAAAGAACCATATCAAATTTCACTTATACTATGATGGAATTTTTTCCTAGTAGAAAAATAACAGTGCTACACCTAGCGCTATCTACATCCGCTGAAAAACAGTCCCTCAGTATTGCGTCAATACCCTGATCTGCACCATGCACGATTCGCGAATCATATGACTGTTATCAACTATCACTTTCAATACACGTCTTATCAAAAACACCAGCTGTAGTTATTCTTCTAATCCGTGTGCGTGTTGTTAGCGGACTGCGGTTACGGGTTATTACAAAATATTTAAATTCAGTTCGTTAATCGTAACTTTTTTTGTGAATCCGGAATAAGTAATGCTCCCGGTTTGACTTGTAGATGAAATCGCGAAAACTTTGCGTCATTATAATGCTGAAAATTATGCCATTCCTTTCATTAATACCGTGCAAATGAACTTAAGTTATTGACTGTTAAAGAATTTACCGACAGTGAAATAAAAATGAAATCGAAAGGACCAACATCCTAGCAATATTTTTGGCATATAAAAAAAATCCTTCAGATTCGTTGCTGAGCACCTATGCAGGTACATTTAACTCAAATATTTGTTTTTAGTTTAATTTTTTTAACCGCAACATGCACGCATTCCTGCAAACCTCGTCCTTGGCCCAGTTATTACAAATATCTAGGCAGAAGGTTTACGCGTAGTTATACATGATTATGACGTTATATAATGACTTTGTTAAGTTATTCTGGCCAGACATCTTTATCGAAACGAAAAATCGTCTATGTTCAAATCGCTACTTTCAATTAAAAATTAATCTTTTATAAGAATAATATCATAACGGTTTTAGGTCTTACGTGTAATTACAACATAATTTTTGTAATTTTATAACGATGTTCAGAGACAACGGTAGCTGGAGTATCGATCGGTCTACCGAACAGTGTGTCAAATCGTGCACTCACTAAGGGCGCCTGGCTGCGCGTTTGCGAATGTCGGGCTATAACCATAAAAAACAGCTGATCGCGTGACATACATAATTTTTTATGCGGGTGACAATGCAGTTTATTTATGCGTTAACGACCAACCGTAAAAATAATCTACAGACATTGCTCTCTACATTTTTGAGCTTTTATAGCTCATAATATTCGTTAGCTAATGTTTTGCTCTTAAGTCTAATATTATTTTAACTTATTTTATATTGTATATTGTATAATACTACATAATTTTGTTTAGTTATCTATTTAACTATGTGATTTATTAAATATACTACACCCCATTTTATCATAAAATAATGATTTTTTCATAAAACTGTACATATTTAAATTTGATATGTTTTTATGAACCATATAAATATCAAATTTATTGTCAGGAGAAATTATGTCTAATGGTAGATTTTAGGGGTAATTTTCAAAAGTTAAATAGGAACATAAAATTATTTTTTTAATAATTAATGGAAAATATAATGTTGACTGATCGATAACTAGTTTTATATAATTAAATTTTTGAGCTATTATGATTTTTAGTTATAGGCTAATAGGTTACGCAAATGAATTCTGTGAGTTATGGTAAAAATTGAGCTTTGTTAAAAACTACCCCGCACATTATTGTTTTAATATTTTTAAATGCTAATATCTCAAAAATCAAAAATACAATATTTTTTATCGACCTGACAAAATTTTATTTAGAACATTCTCCATTTAATAGTAAAATTTTCGTTATAATTTTTAGTTATATGCTAGTGGCTCTGTGAATTGTAGACTAAAGTTAAAGGTTGATACTATGATACTACTTTTATGTGCCTAAGTCTCAACAATTTATTTTATTAACTTGTATTAGAATAATGATTTAGATGTGAAGTTCTTATTTTTACTGTAAGAATAATCATTGAGCAAATTTTTAAGTTAATATAAACAAAATTAAAATATTTTATTTGATTTATTATTGTATGTATTAATTTGGTCTAATTTCTTGTAGCACAAATCATGATATTTACAGGCTTATTAAGGAAACGAGGCATCCATGGTACTAAAGTCTCCCACCTAATATGTTTAAAAATATCTTTAATTTATAAAACACACATTTTCTTTTGATGATTTAAAAACTAGCTTTTTCTCTAATGCTATCCCCCAAAATCTCTTAAGTACCTTAAGTTTTTCTGTAGATACTTAAATGAATATATTTACTAAAAATCAAATGATTATGTTTTCTCATATTAATGTAATTATATTTAATTGGAATCACAAACTTGTTTTTGTTAGAATTCAGCACTAATTTTATCAGATTTGGCTTGATAATGGAATAAAATGTAGTGTATTTATTACACATCAAAATACTGCATACTTAAAATAAAAATGATAACCTTTAGACTGAATGTTCGAATTTTGTAGTTCTTACTCAATAGGTGATAATGTTTATTTTATAAAAAAAGAAGCTATTTAAATACAGAGCGCTGCCAGTGACTTTATTTTTGTCATTATATTTTTCCACGATTGATATTTTCATAAATATTTTTAAAAGTACACGCACCAGGAAACGAACTATTAAACAAACCATATGTAATCATTGATGTATTATTAATTTTATAGTTTGATGTATGTATTTTATAACAATATATCTTATAAGAAATATAAAATAATAAGTACATTTATAAATTACAGCACGTAACTTAAAAAAAATAAAATCTTTTTCACTTGATTCATAATTTTAATCGAGATAAAGATGCAATTATATCAACAATTACATTAATGGTGTTTACATTATTTAGTTTTGAAGATTATCGTTCTTCGTGTTTGCTATTAAACAATATTATTATTCTATCAATGACCAAATTTTTCATTCAAGTATTATTTTAATCTAATCATTAAAAATACAGATAAAAAATTTTTAATTTATTGAAGGAGTGTTCGTTTAAAATAACTGTAGTAGTACTACAAAAAGCATTCTATTAAGATAAGCAACACAACGTATACCATGTACAGGAACAAGTGCATTATCTAACATTTACAATTTTTTTACATTTTAAATTCACCTATTTCATTTGCAAATTCAATGTTGTAAAATGTGTTGACTCTGATGAATAAGTCATTTAGTAGAAACGTTTATGTTGTTATTTGAGACAAAAATATTTTCTAATACTAGTCTTCAATAATTTTACTGTTGTTGACCTAATCGTTATGGGCATATCGTCAAAAATAGCATCGTTGACAGTAATGTGAATAGTTACTATTCACTAGCATTTCAACTAAACAAATTTTAAAAAGTTGCCCCTTAGAAACATTCATATTCTGGTGTCTCTACAAGTTATTATTTAGACTTTTAGTATTGGGTCAAATTAGAATATTTTCAGTTGTTTTTTGTTCTTTGTTTATAAATTAAATTGCGATTGGTATTATTTCATTAATACGGTATCAAAGATTCCTTAAAATCAATGTTGTACTATTGAATTGAAAACCTCCAGCTTTTAATAATTTTTTAGAAAACTTGTGGTTTTATTGGTAAATGAGTTGTAATTGTTGTTAATTATCAATGAAAGTATTGCAGTTCTGTTGAAGTATCTCATCCACTGTATCCGGATACAATTAATAGAATTATATCGAGTTAACACGATGTAAATGTATAAGGTAATATTTTAATTATTTATTGCAGTGGTATTTCTCGTGAATCATGAACATCATGCCATTCAGTTAAATCAAATATTTCAATAATTACAAGTAAATAAATAAAAACAGAAAAAACACTTGGTGTTTTTGAATGCTTACATGTCTTCATGATTAATAGTCTGACTATATAAAAGTGAAAAAATTGATTGAACATAACATTAGTATAGTTTCGGATAAACTCACCGACCGGCCTTCAAAAGTGCTTCATTTACTACCATAATGGGAAAAATTGATATGTTCAATTTTTTTTTCTTCTATTATTTCTGTCTGTCATACTATGGTGTATTGTTTAAATGAAATTCTACATAATATACTATTGTATTTAACGAAATATCTTAGTACTACAATCAATTCTTTTGAAAAGATATTAGGCTCACTCATACATCATATCCTGTTTGTTATATTTTCTCTTAGTATTTTTAGTGAAATAAAAAATGGATATTTATTAATAATATTTGCAATATACGTTTATACGAAACATGCCTGTTTTTTTCACTCTGATAATACAGTGTCTCGTTGCGGTGTATACAGTACCGTATTTAAGTTAAGTGGGCCATAGCCTAGAACAGCATTTTCTTAAAAAATTTGATATTATAAGTTAATAATTATTATTAAATTTATTTTTAAAATGTTTTGTACAATCTTTTCCAAGTAAATCTAATAATTTAATATAACTTTTTCCGAATTCATAGAAAATACTGTATGTAAAATTAAACATACATAAAAATCGATCTAAAAAAATTATTGATATCCAAGAATATTATTAATTTATAACATTATAAATATTAATTAGTAATAATAGTGAACGTACACGAAATATTAGTTTTTAAGCAATAGGGGGAGAATAATTTAGCCTAGGGGCGCTAAAGTGGTAAAACGCAATTGTGTACATAATTATCACGTGCCATTTTTCCATTATATTAAATATTCTATTAATGATTCTTGAACAAATTAAATGTTATAAGCTCTGTAAACCAAGGAACCACAGGAACCTATTATTTTAGTACACTCGTCCGTATTAATAAGTCTTGAAGT